TTTGAAACACTGGCTGCTGCAGCATGTTAGGATTCCAAGTTTGATCTAATATTCTCAGTGTACATTGTTGCACATTCATGGAACAAATCGAAGTAATCGCGGGCAAAGGCGTGTTTCATCAAAAATATCTTTCCGTGCCCCTCACTGAAAAGTGAGAGCAAAAAAAACTATATTCCCGTTTCTAATAACTGTATCTCTATATTTGACATTTTAAAAAGCGGCGGTGCAGTTAATAAGTACTACCATTGATTAAAAGAAAGGGGTCTTTGTAAGCTCTCAGATCTCTCTTGATCAAAGGATATCAAGGCATGGCGTAACTCCACTCAAATTGTTTGTTTTCCACGAGTTAATTATTCAAAGACCTCATCCATGTTAATAAGAAACTCTCTGAATTGCTTGCCTTTTCAAAGAAACCGCAACCTTTTTGAAAGACATCTATAAATGCATTAATTGTAACTCGTACAGATAGGACAATTCGCTTAGAGTCAAAGCTAAACGGGTTACAGTTTAGTTTCCTGGCAACTATCGTCATCAGACGTGTCCATACCCGGGTTAATAAAGGCCAGTTTCAATAGAGTTTCCTTCGCCTGAGTTCTTCTTAATAACATCTCTATGCCGGCTGAATTAGGGACTGGGGAAGAGCCAGGCGAGGGGCTTGCTAACTGATTGATACTTTCTTCACTTGTGGACATAATCGGAGAGGAATTCACTATCAAGCGTGTCGTTCTAGTGTTTTCACTGATTTTTCTGAATTTAAGAGAGCCATAAAGTACGCCAGCTTTTCGCTTTGGTTGTAAATGTTTGTCTCCTGTGTGATTTTCAATAACACCAGTTGAGTAATCGACGTTGGTTTTACCGAAGCAGAAAATGTGTCGGAAGAATCGGACGTATCCTCGACGAAACTGTCGAGTAAGAGAACCGTATACAATCGAGTTCACGCATGCGTGTAGGTACATTAGCGCTTCTGCGCAGGTCCAAAATGCGTCGGACAGCTCCTTGTACGAGTCACCTCCAAGGTCAAACAACAACCAGGCGATTTGATTGGGAAGCATGCAGGCCATGAACAAAATCACAATAACAGCCAGTGTCCGGATTATCTGGACATTTTCGCTTCTCGTTTTGTGCCTGATTACCTCGCCTTTAGCATTGATCGTTGTCAGCATCGGTAACCGAGACCTGATAAGACAAAAAGCGATTCTCAGGTATGCTATGACGATTACAAACAAAGGGATGCCATATTGAAGAATACATAAGACTACAGTGTAAGCTTGACGATAGTAGTTCTTCGGCCAATTTTCTGCACATAACACACCTTCCGACCGCGCCACGATCATCAACGGAACAATCGTGACAAAGGCAAAGATCCATATAAGGAAAATCCATATCAATGTGGCTTGCAGTTTGATCCTCGGTTGCAAAGGGTTTGTGATTCCTCGACACCGTTCGACTGCCATGGACATTAAGGTGAAAACACTGACTGATAAAGTAACCGACATCATTGGCCAAATTAGTTTACAATACAATAAATTCTTGTTAAACGGCTGAAAAAGGTCGTACGTATAGAAAGGAAGCGAAAGCCACAGGAAAGTTAAGTCTGCTACTGCCAAGTTTAAAACGAAATAATCATTAATGGTTCGTTTTCGCTTTCTTTTCAATACC